CTCCTTAGAGTGTCCTCCGCCTGTCCAGTCGCAGTCACAGTTACCGCCTGCCTCGCCACTCCCTGGTCCTTCTCCTTACACTGGTCCGACTGGAGGTCTTACAGAGCGTCGTGAGCCTGAGTCTCGTCCTGCGTCGCCAGAGTCTCGTCGTGCGTCACCTGTTCGTGCTGCTCACAGTGGTCGTCGTGTTCCGCGTCAGCGTCCTCTTGCTGTCCCAGGCACTCACCAGATGGCACTTCGTCCTTCCACTGCTCCTCAGCGTGTCCCTCTGCCGTCTCCTCCTGCGTCTTCTCTTCCTGCTCTTGCTGACCCGGAGTCTGACTCCCTTCGTGCTGCCAGTCCTACTGTCACGCGTCTCCTCGCCACAGTTGTCACTGACCCTTTCTTTGAGTCCTCTGCTGCGTCTGCTCTAGTCGCTGAGTTAGTTGACTTTGCTGCCGCTTGTCGTCTAGACTACGCCGCTAGCCTTGTCGCTGAGTCTGAGTCTGAGTCTGTCTGTCCTTCGTCCGTCGGGGGTGAGTGTGCTCTTGGCACGGACGTCCTTGAGGATAGGCAGGAGGAGTTTGAGTGCTTTGCCGCTGCGTTACCTCATCTCGTGTCCATGCTGGTTGCCCCTGAGGGAGACCCGGATGCTCCAGACATCCCGACCTCGCGCTCTTACGCTGAGGCGATCGCGGGTGAGTACTCCTCTCAGTGGCAGACAGCCATGGACGCAGAGATGGCTTCTTGGAAGTCCACAGGCACCTACGTCGACGAGGTTCCCCCACCTGGGGCGAACATCGTCAGTGGCATGTGGATTTTCAGGGTGAAGCGGCCGCCGGGTTCTCCGCCTGTCTTCAAGGCGCGTTACGTTGCACGAGGCTTCAGTCAGCGAGAGGGAGTTGACTTCTTCCAGACCTTCTCCCCGACCCCGAAGATGACCACTCTTCGGGTTCTGCTGCACGTCGCCGCTCAGCGTGACTACGAGCTCCACTCTCTTGACTTCAGCACAGCTTTCTTGCAGGGCATCCTGCACGAGGAGATCTGGCTGCGCCGCCCACCTGGCTTCACTGGGTCGTTCCCTCCTGGTACCCAGTGGAGCCTCCGACGGCCAGTCTACGGTCTCCGCCAGGCGCCGCGTGAGTGGCACGACACACTGAGGACTACACTTGCGGCTCTTGGGTTCGCTCCTTCTACTGCTGACCCGTCGCTGTTTCTACGCACCGACACTTCACTGCCGCCGTTCTACATCCTCGTGTACGTCGACGACTTGGTCTTTGCCACTGCTGACACTACGGCACTCGCCCACGTGAAGTCGGAGCTGCAGAAGAGACACACGTGCACAGACCTGGGTGAACTGACAAGCTATCTTGGCTTGCGGATCACCCGGGACAGAGCACGGCGCACCATCACCTTGACTCAGTCACACATGGTGCAGCAGGTCCTTCTGCGCTTCCGCTTCACGTACTCCTCGCCTCAGCCCACTCCTCTGCCTACCGGTCACTCGCTCTCAGCTCTGCCTTCGGATGAGTCCGTAGAGCCGAGTGGCCGTATCCAGAGCTTGTGGGCTGCCTCATGTACCTGATGACCTGCACTCGACCTGACCTTGCATACCCTCTTAGCATCCTTGCACGCTATGTCGCTCCTGGTCGTCACCGGAAGGAGCACATGGATGCCGCTAAGAGGGTGTTGCGTTACTTGTGCAGTACGTCGGGCATGGGGCTAGTGCTTGGAGGACGAGACCGAGTTGTACTCACTGGGCACTCAGACGCTTCTTGGGCTGACGACCAGGCTACTCAGCGGTCGTCTCAGGGTTACACCTTCAGCCTTGGCTCTGGTTCTGTTTCTTGGCGTTCTACACGCTCGTCTTCCGTTCTCAGCTCCAGTTGTGAGGCTGAGATCTACGCCACAGCCATGGCTGCACAGGAGTTACGCTGGCTCACCTACCTGCTGACCGACTTGGGAGAGCGGCCTCGTTCTCCTCCAGTGCTGTACGTCGACAACAAGGCTACCATTGCCTTGTGTGAGAAGCACAGACTGGAGCACAGAACGAAGCATATCGCTCTACGGTACTTCCTTGCTCGAGAGCTGCAGCAGCGTGGTCAGCTTTGTCTGCGTTACGTGGCCACTCGGGCCAACACTGCTGATGTGTTCACCAAGGCGCTTCAGCCTTGTGACCATCAGCGCTTCTGTACTGTTCTAGGCCTTGTGCCTACTGTGCCTCACTTGCTTACTTCTTGACTCTGTTTGTACTGTGATCTCTATATATATACCTGCATACTTACACTTGCTAGGTTGTGCTCACTGTACCCCTTGCTATATTATTAAACTGCATGTGAACTGGTCTTGTGACCACTTGCTTGTGCTCGGAATTTGTGTGGTTTCCTCGAGATCCACCCTGAGCTTGCTTTGCCCTTCCTGACTGGTCTTGTGACCACTACTTGCTCTGGCTATCCCCCATTTCGCCTATGGGGGTGTGTCAAAACATATGCATAATTGTATCTAGGCTATATTGGGGCTAGCCTTAGGGGGTACACAAATAGTCTCGACACTCTAGTCTTGTACCCCAATCTTCACCCAATCAACACCTTTCTCGTTCCCTAGCTATTGATTCTAACATATTACACACGTAAGTCACAGTATGCCGTACAGATGCAAGCAACATGTGACGCTAAAGGCGTCATATGGGATTATCTGATAGGCTTTCTGGGCACAGCTCACAACCAGCGAGGGTTCATACAATCCAGGCTCTACAAACGACTGGAAAATTGTGACATCGCCCCATACCAGCTAGTTGGCGATGCGGCTTACCCACTCCGCGACTATTGCCTCACTCCCTTGCACGCTCCGACTGGCCGCCTCATGCTCGAGTGGCAGCAGACATTCAACTACTGCCAATCAGCCACCCGCATGTCCGTGGAGCGCACCATCAGACAGTTCAAGGGCCGGTATCGACTGTTCGCCAGCCGTCACAACTGTGCGCTCTGGCGGGTTCTCGCCAGCACCAGTTGCGTCGTTATCCTGCACAATATGGGCATTGGGATGGCAGGGCCACGCATGAAGACCCCGAACGTCAGATGGGCGGCTATTTCACTCAATCAGGATCCGTGGTGGATGCGTGGAGAGCTTGCAGAGTATAAGTGGGAGGCGTGTGACATTGTTACGCCGTTCGAACTGAAGGAACGCCGTAAAAGACTGGCACTCCATGACGCATACCTTAAGCGTCGTCGCCGCGACGCCACACCTCAACCTCGTCACTGAATGTGGCATTGTCGTCGTCCGGCCAAGCGTCGTCACCGCCAGCGCGGCCGCGAGAGAAGCGAAGCGGGCGAATAGTCTGAGACTGCTGGCTTGCCATCCACTCCCGCATTACTCGAGTGATCTGGGAGACGCCCTTCTCTGAGCATCGCGTGAGGGTGTCGGCTAAAAGTTGAGAAGCCGCCATAGTTGCTGTCTCGTTGATCTTGCGTCTTGCGCTTGGGGGGGTGCTACGTACTGCAGGCAAAAAGGCATTGGGAGGGGTAGATAGTTTTTTAATGTTGTATGCTTACGGACATGCAATATATGATCCCGGATGTTTGAATCCGTACTACGTTTTAAGAGCAAACGGTGAACAGTCCGTGAGTCACATCCCCTTGCACATTCACCCACATGTTGTAGTCGTAGCATCGGTTTTCGCGGGCTTAGGGATGTTCAATCCAGGATCGACGGTGACGTCGTCAGCTCCGCCACCATCCAGTGCGCGCAGCTGCAGTGTCCTTATAGAATAGGACCATCCACTCCCACCACGGGGGCTTGATGACAGTGGCCCCACCCAATGCCGAGTCCCTCTTGGACACCAGCTTCCACAATGCCTTCAGCCGCTTCCACTGGTTGGGTGCAAGCGGTAGCGTTACGGCTCCAGTTGGGGTGTTGGAGCTTGATGTGCTCGCAGAGACGAATCCAGTATTGCGAGCCTTGCTTCCCGGTCATTTGGTGCAGCTCGTCCTTCGTGAACCAACGAGCCGCAACTAGGATGGTCGACTCCTTGAGCGACCACTCGATACGTTGGTCAGGCCCGGGGCTGCTCACCTTAGCAGGGCTGCGCACTGCAGCCTTTCCCTTCCGCTTCCCGTTTGAGCGTGCGGCAGCCTCAGCTTGCTGGCGATCGGCTTGAGTAGCTGTTGTATCGTCCTGATCAGGGCCGTTGTATTCAGCGCCACCGTGCCAAGCAGCTACGGGATCGTCGCCATCGGAGCCGGCGACATCGTCCTCATCGTCCGAATCCTTCTCAAGGTATTCGTCGTCAGTGTCGTATCCACGGGCGAGACCGTCGATTGCGCGGGGGTCGAGTTGGCGGCTCCCACACTACGTAACGGACGTGAGGTAGGTTTTCCGGCCGCGACTTCGGCAATCATCCATTTGACATGTGCAAGGTCCTCCACACGCCACCCTTCGTCCTCTGCTGTGCCTAATGGTCCTTCGAGTTTGCGTGCCATGGCTTGCGGCTAAAGCGCGATGTTGATCTAGGATGCTAGAACACGGTTTTGTATGCACTTGGGTGTTGTTGTTGGGGCCTTGTTTGTGACTGTTTGTGGAAAGTGTTCAACGTGTTGGTGATCTGGATGGCTGCATGGCGGGAAATGCTAGAAATGTTTGGACTTGTGAACATTAAGCACGATGTTTCCCTATGCACATTCGCCACGTCACGATCGTGCGCAGGTTAGGCTGATTGGCGAGATGCACGCACAGACGTTTACGAGTCTTCTGTGGGCGTGCACAGTGGGTTCCGCAATGTTGAGCGACATGGTGCGATCGATTTCATTCGTGTGCGTTCACGGTACAAGCCTGACAAGAGGCGTTCTATAACGTGCATACAACAAATATGCGAAGCTGATAAGAGGATGCCCTGACAAGGGGCTGTAGGAACATGCCCACAGAGTCTGCTGTATACCATTCTGCAAAAGAACCCATTCGCTGGAAGTGTCAGGTGTCTTTGGTACAGATCGATTCTTGATTTCAACGAGCGCCTTAAAAACAATCTACCAGAGCCCTGAATCCCTGATAAAGAAATAGCGCGAGGGTGAGAGCAAACGCTAAGAGACACGATTTGCGGCACAAGTGGTGGTACGAATGAATGCTAGTCCATGCAACTCTCCAATGCTCAGATGCCACGCATCAAGGGACCCACTCCATCTCAGGGGGGCGTGGCGTGGCTGCAACTTGTTGCCACTCGTTCTAAAGGGGCCACCCATGCCTTACGGTGACATCATAGGCTGCTGCACTGCGTGCATGGGCTAAATAGCTTGCATGGGTTGTACCAGTTGTTCTAACATAGACTCACTCACTCCATCCCAGGGGGCCGTGGCTGCGACTCATTCCCACTTGCTCCGAACAGGCCACCCATGCCTGGGGGACCAGCAACACTAGGTGGTGGTATCATGGGCTGCACTGGCTGCATAGAGTGAATAGATTGCATGGGTTGAGGAGCTTGCATGGGCTGCGTCGGCCATTGCTGCTGCTGTGGTTGCTGCTGCTGCCACTGCTGCTGTGGTTGCTGCTGCTGCCACTGCTGTTGCTGGTATTGCACGGGTTGTGATTGTTGTTGCTGCCACTGCTGTTGCTGCTGCTGCTGCTGCTGCTGCGGGTACTGCACTGGCTGTGGTTGTTGCTGCTGATACGATTGCGGCTGCTGCCACTGCTGCTGCTGCTGGTGAGCTGCTGGTGCTGGCTGGAAAGCCTGCTGGTACTGGCCCTGGTGTTGGAACAGGGGCTGCTGTTGCTGCTGCTGAAACGGAGGGGCGTGTGAGACAGGGGCTGGTTGTATGGGCTGCTGAAACGAAGAGGGCTGCTGCTGGTACCCTGAATATGGCTGCTGCATGGGTTGCGGCATCTGATGCGGCATCTGCTGCTGAAAGGGCATTTGAGGGCGAGGCATGAAGGGAGGAGGGGGAGCAGCCACAAAGGGTGGAGGGGGCATGTGGGGAGGCTGGTTCATCATCATGGGAGAACCCCCTCCGCCCTGCTGCCCCATCATCATAGGCTGGTTGCCTACTAGAGGAGGACCAGCAGCAGCATTGCGATTGTAACCGTCCATCTGGTTACTGTACCCGCTGCTGCCGTTTGCGCCGTTGTAACCATCGCGCCCTCCTCCTCGCCCCTGCCATCCGCTCCCTCCTCTCCCTCTGTCGCCTCTCCCCCTCTCCCCTCTCCCTCTCCCTCCTCTCCCTCTCCCTCCTCTTCCTCCCTCGAACCCGCCATCCCACCCCTCTCCCCTTCCCCCTCCCCATTCTCCTCCCCTCCCTCTTCCCCTCCCGCCATCTCCATCCCAACCTCCCCTTCCCCTCCCCCTCCCTCTCCCTCGTTCTCCCCTTCCTCGTCTCCCCCTCCCTCCCTCCTCCTCCCCGCCCTTCCTCTTGCTCCTCCGCTGCTCCCTCCTCCACTCCTCCTCCTTCTCATCATCACTGAACATCGCTTCTGCATCTCCCCCTTCCCATCCCACACCTCCTTCTCCTCCCCTCCCTCCTCCCCTCTCTCCTCCCCTCCCTCCTCCCTTCCCACCTCCCTTCCCTCGCCCTCCCTTCTCCACCCCTCCCTCCCCCACTTCCTCCTCACTCCCCTCCTCCTCCTCCTCCCCATCCTCCCCCACATCATACCCCTTGGCCCTCAACGCAGCATCATCCAGCACATACCCCGCCATCCTCTCTATAAAGCTCACCGCTACACCCACAGTAGCCAGCGCAGGCACCTCTTCTCTCGTGTTAAACCGCACGCGATACAGCGGTGCTTTCACCGGCCCGAAAATCTCATCCACAACACCCAGCAGGCACCGGTGATCAGATAGGAAGAGCAGGGATCCCTCCTCTAGAGCGCGGGCAGAGGGGTCGGCTTGAACCACCACCGATGTCTCTACAATCTGTGGTCAGTGGGAGAATGAAGGGGTCACACGTGGGGAATGGAACGGGCTGAAGTGCACGCGATACAGCGGCGCTTTCACCGGGCCGAAGATCTCATCCACAACACCCAGCAGGCACCGGTGCTCAGATAGGAAAAGTATGGATCCTTCCTCTAGAGCGCGGGCAGAGGGGTCGGCTTGAACCACCACTGGTGTCTCAACGATCTGTGCGGCACAATACAGGGGTCACATGTGGGAAGAGTAAGGAGCTGAAATGAATCGATACAAGAACCGAAAATCTCATCCACTACTCCCAACAGGCAGCGGTGGTCTGACAGGAAGAGCAGAGATCCCTCCTCTAGAGCACGAGCAGAGGGGTCTGCTTGAACCACCACTGACGTTTGAACCATCTGTGGAACAAACAGGGGTAAGGAATCTACAGAAGGACCGAAAATCTCATCCACTACTCCCAACAGGCAGCGGTGATCTGACAGGAAGAGCAGAGATCCTTCCTCTAGCGCGCGGGCAGAGGGGTCGGCTTGAACCACCACTGATGTCTCAACGATCTGTGGTAGCAGCAGGGGTTACAGACGTGAGGTTGATACATGAACAACAAGGGCTGAAAAGCTCATCCACAACCCACAAGAGACAGCGGTGGTCGGACCAGGATGAGTGGAGCAACAGATGAGGGGCCAGATAACATGTGTGAAACGGGGGGGAGATAACATGTGGGAGAAAAGAGGGACTCGTGGCATGCCATAACGAAGCAACGTCTCTGGATCTTCTTTTGTTGCAAGCCGCATTAGGTTAACTGAATCGCCTCTCAAGTGCTTTGGGTAGCCTCAAACCTCACCAGTTTTGACAATCCTTTTGAGGAGTTTTAAACAAATGTCTCCAGCAACTACTGAAGCTTCGGATTTTTAGAATTCTAAAACTGACGAAAGTGAGGCAAGCTTTGAGGATAAAAAGAAAAGAAAACAAAAAAAAAATGTCTACCATCCCTTCGGAATAAAGTGATACAAGATTTGACCACCTACTGAAGCTTCAATCATCTTAATTGACCCATTTGTGTATGCTTTGCTTGCAGTGATACTTGGTCCGGTGGCTGGCCCAGCAGCAAAACTCAATAAAAATCAGTCGTACTGTGTACTGCTACGGATCGTACCATGAGCTTCACCAATGACACGTGCCACACCTCACCAATGACACATGCCACACCTCACCAATGACACGTGCCACACCTCACCAATGACACGTGCCACACCTCACCAATGACACGTGCCACACCTCACCAATGATATGTGCCACACCTCACCAATGACACGTGCCACACCTCACCAATGACACGTGCCACACCTCACCAATGACACTTTCCACACCTCACCAATGACACGTGCCACACCTCACCAATGACACGTGCCACACCTCACCAATGAAACGTGCCACACCTCATCACTGACACGTGGCACAGACTTACAGCTGACACGTGGCCCAAAGGCAGGAGCTCGTCCGAGTCTTCCATCTTGACATCGGGAATCGCGACAGGTGGCAGGCCCTGTTATGAGAGAGGCATGGATGGTGGGGAATGGGGCAGATGCATGCAGGCAGCAGGGATTGGCAGATCCAGGAATACATATTGTGGCTCACTAGACGTTGGGAACTGCGATGGGTGGGAGGCCCTATTATGGGAGGCATGAATGGTGGGGAATGGGGCAGAGTAGCGGGAGAGGTGGGAAGGGAGAGGTAGAGGGGAACGCGGCCCAGAGGCAAAAGCTCATCCGAATCCTCCACCTTGACTGTGGGAATTGCGACGGGTGGGAGGGCCTGTGATGCACACATGTCGGAAACAGGCCAGGCGAGCGGGAGAGGTGGGGAGGGAGTGGGAGGGAAGGAGGGAAGGGAAGGGAGTTGGAGGGGGAGGAGGAGGAGGTGGGAGGAAGAGATGGGAGAAAGAGGTGGGAGCCAAGGGTGGGAAATGGGGCAGACGAGCGGGAGAGGTGGGAGGGAGAGAGGAGGGAGAGAGGGGCGCGGGAGAGAGAAGGGATGGATAGAGGAGGTGGGGAAAGGGGAGAGGGGGGGAGGGGAGAGAGAGAGAGACGACGGAGGAAGAGATGAAGGAGGGAGAGAAGAAGGATGGGAGGGAGAGAGGCAGGAGGGAGAGAGGAGGGGGTGAGGAGGGAGGGACGGAGGGAGGGAGGCAGAGAGGTGGGAGGGAGAGGGGTGGGAGGGAGAAAAGAGATAGCAAGAGAGGAGCGCGGGCAAGAGGTGATGAACCAGAAACCCTAGCCCTTAAAGCCACTCACCGCCTCCCCCATGTCTCCCCCATGTCTCCCCCATGTCTCCCCCATGTCTCCCCCATGTCTCCCCCATGTCTCCCCCATGTCTCCCCCATGTCTCCCCCATGTCTCCCCCATGTCTCCCCCATGTCTCCCAACCCAAGTGTCGTCAACGCCACCCAGGTCAACCCCTGACGCCTTTACCCCCCTGCCCAGTCACAAAAACAGTTCTCCCAGATTTTCCAGCTGCTCCAGCCTCGTGTCGATATGTTCCAAACCCTGACGTCCGCAAACCCGAACTCCTTAAACCCGTGGACATTCACCCTTACTCACAGGCTCCCCCATGTCCCCCACGTGCCCTTCAAGCTTCTTTCGAAACGTCCAAAACCCTAACGCCTTAAACCCCCCCCCGTGCCCTGTAACATATTCTACTCGCCGGCACCCCCATGTCCCCCATGTGCCCCTCAAGTGCTGTTACGCCCCACCCAGGTCAAAACTCTAACTCCTGCCACCCACCCGCGCCACTCACCGGCTCCCCCCGTGTCCTCCATTGCCCCATGTGCCCCATGTGCCCCATGTGCCCCATGTGCCCCATGCGCCCCATGTCCCCCATGTCCCCCATGCGCCCCATGTCCCCCATGTCCCCCATGTCCCCCATGTCCCCCATGTCCCCCATGTCCCCCATGTGCCCCATGTGCCCCTCAAGTGCCGTCAAGCCACACCCAGGTCAAAACCCTACTGCCTGCCAGTCACCCAAGCCACTCACCGGCTCCCCTGTGTCTCCCACATGGCCCTCAAGCCTCTCCAACTCCTCCTCTTCCTCTATCAAAATGTCATTGCGTAATTCTTCCTCTTCCTCCTCCCCCTCCTTCTCCTCCTCTGCTTCATCCGCGTCCTCTGCTGTTTCTTCCTCTTCCTCCTCACTCTCCTCCTCCTCCTCTTCCTCACTCTCCTCCTCTTCTCCACTCTCCTCTTCCTCACTCTCCTCCTCTTCCTCACTCTCCTCCTCCTCCTCGTTTTTCTCCTGCATCACCACCCCACCCTCTTCCACATCTTTCCCCTTCACCTCCTCCTTTTCTTCTTCTCCACCCATCATCTCCTCCTCCTTCCCGTTAACCCCTTCATGATCCATGTCCCTAGCCTCCTCCTTCCCATCTTCCTTAAATCCCGCCTCTCCTGCCGCCTCTCCTGCCCTAAAATCTAGCCCTCCTGCCTTCACCCTACCCTCCTCCTCCTCCAACACCCCCAACTTCCCCTCCTCCCCAGTCTCTTTCACCTTCGCCTCGCCATCCGTTCCCCTTACCCCATCTTCCTCCTCCTTAATCACTCCCTCCCTTCCCTTTTCCTCCGCACGGCTCAACCCCTTTGCGTCGCTACCCTCTATCTTTCCTTTAACCTCCGCGCTCTCCTTACACGCACTCTTTTCCCTCACTTCGATACTGTCACGCGCTCCGTTCCCTTCGCTACAATCGCCTGCTTCCCTTTTCTGCGCCGATCCGGAACCGCCCTCAACCGCTTCGCCTACAGTCACATCGCACATTGTTAACTCGGCGGGAGAATCCTGTGTCACAGTAGTTGCGGTTTCACTCGGAGCACCGTTTCGAGAAGCACCTACCCCAGTCGCACCTTCTCCCGTCGCACCTCCCTCCGTCGAAACTCCCCCCGTCGCATCTCCCACAGTCGCAACTCCCCCCGTCGCATCTCCCACAGTCGCACCTTTCCCAGGCACACCTCCATCACTTACCACCTCCATGCTCGTAGTCGCACTACGATCTGTCGCTAAAGACACCGTATTTTCAAGTCTATCACAGTTAACGTTAATGAAAAACGCGAATTTCAGTCACAACCGCGGGGAGATTCGTCTACGAATAGATGGGGATCATTGGGGAAGGAGTGAGAGGTGGGGGACAAGGTTGAGGGTTTAAACCTTCGACATCATGTGCGCGATCACTTTAGGACGCGTCACAATTGCAACACCGATCCTGTGAAATATCGGTGTGCACAATCTACAGTGTCTTCGCCATTTCGTGGAAGCCATGTATCCCGTTTTCGTTTATCCAGTTGCGAAAATCATGTACCCGCAGGTTGTCAAGGTCGGATAGCTCAAACTGCCAAATCGATCGTGCGATTTGACAGCGCGGGAATCGAAATCGCGCCACAAGTTCCAGCCACGATCGATCGCCGTCGCATACTGTCGGAAACTTTCGTTGTGGTAACTTCGTACCCTGCGTTGTCGCCATCTAGCTCGTCACAAGCCATGCGAAATTGTGCGACTCGCACGGCTCCTGCGCTAGCAGCTGGGTGTACAGTTGCAAACCCGGTCATGTCCCACTTGGCTCGGGGAAGCAGCCAAAACTGCTCCTGCAGATTGAAACAAGTTTTTTCGCAAGTCGATGCACACATTCTCGGTGTTTGGTGCCGATCTCCCCCGGTGTTGCAATTGTGACGCGTCCTTAGAGCTCACCTCGCAACTGTTGATTGATATTCCTCTTTTGACATTAATTGTGACTAGTAACGCTCCAAATTAATTACATCTACTTGGAGAGTTCGCTTATAATACCGTATGGCCCCGGATATAGGGGCCGTCCGATTAAAGGCGCCGGCGCCTATATCTGGAGCAGGCGCTTATTGCCGTTCCTCGATTATAGGCGCACCCTATTTTGTACCCGTACTTATTATAAGCTGTCAGAATGTTATAATTGTCTAGCCTGCAGTGGGGTACTCTATAGCGAGTACAACCCAATTAGGGTTTCCTATATGTATGCCAACTGCTGCTAGTGAACCCCCTCCTTTCTGCTTCTAAACTTTTCTGCTCGTACTTTTGACATGGTTTCAGAGCAGGTCGACTCCCTTGGGTCGATCCTGTGGGTGGGCCTGCCACCTAACTGCTTCCGCTGCTGTTCTGCTTCTCGCGCGCCCCGGGCGAAAATTTTTAGGGTTTTTCATCCCGCCGTGCGCTCGGGGCGCGCGGCGAGTTTCTGCCCGCCGTGCGCCCCGAGGCGCGCGGCGGTTTCCTACCGTGGGGGACCCTCGCGCGCCCCCGCCCTGTCCGTCGCGTCGCCCTGGGGGACCCGCGCGCTGCCCCCGCTGCCCCGTCGGTGGTCGCGTCGCCCCGCCACTCCGTTGCGCCGCCCTGGGGAGCCGTGCGCGACCCCCTGCTGCCCCGTCGACGGTCGCGTCGCCCTGGGGAGCCGCGCGCGACATCCCGCCGACCCTCGCGTCGCCCCCCCGGGACCCGCGAGCCGCCCCTGGAGCCGTGCGCGACCCCCCCTGCTGCCCCGTCGCGGCGCCCTGGGGGGCTGCGCGCGGCCCCTCGCTGCCCCATGGTGGCGCCCTGGGGGCCGCGCGCCTTCCCCCGCGCTCCTACCCCGTGCCACCCGTTTTAGGGTTTGGGGGTGGGGAGTGTGGGGGGGGCGGTTGAGGGGGTGCCGGTTGTGTGCCCCGTCCCCTACTCCTCCTCCTCCTCCTCCGTCTCCCGCTGCTGCAGCTGCCGCTCAGGGGGGTGGGTGTGTGGGAGCCGAAGGAGTGGTGCTAGGGGGGTGATGTCAGAATCCCAACCACTAGACCATTGGGATAAAAGGGCTTGTTAAGTAGCGGGTCAGTGCGCCCATAACCCCCCAGGCCAACATGCCTGTAACCCTTCCCTAGGATCAATCGGGGATCACCAGTGGACCTCTGACACCCCCCCGCACTGGGATGCCCGAAGTGCACAGGTGACGTGGGAGTGGAGCTAGTGGTGCAGCAAGGGGTGTGTGAAAGGGGGTGGGACAGTTGGGGGAAGTTGAGCGGAGGCAGCAGTCGTGTCGCCAGCAGCGCCAGTAGTCCGGAGGCTACAATCTCCGGTAGTCGCCAGTCGCCTGTGGGTCAGTTGCTCCTGTCAGGAGGCTACAATCTCCGCGGAGCCAGTTACTCCTGTAGTCCGGGCCATTGCTTCGGTAGCCACTGAGCCAGCCACTCCTGTGTGTCTGCAGCTTCCACCGTCGCCTCCCATCTCCTCTCCTCTCACAGTCACTCCTCCTCCTCACTTGCCCTCTGCGACTGCCTCTAGCTTTACTTGTGCATGTGAACCTGCTCTATGACTGCTTGCTCTGCTGATTACACCCCACTTTGGCTATGGGGGTGTGTCAGAATGTTATAATTGTCTAGCCTGCAGTGGGGTACTCTATAGCGAGTACAACCCAATTAGGGTTTCCTATATGTATGCCAACTGCTGCTAGTGAACCCCCTCCTTTCTGCTTCTAAACTTTGTACTGCTACTTCTGACATAAGCGCATACCTATAACATTTTATTATTTTTTAGTAAAACACTAACACCGTATTTATCCGGATAATGGACCCCCCATTATAGCCCCCCGGGCAGGGCCTCAGATTCGTTTTGGTCTAGGCTGAAAAAACAGAGTTGGTACAAAACGTTTTGCTGAAAATCAGACAAATCAGCCATTTTACACCATTTTACACTACAAATCTAAACAAAAATCATGTTACTTTTCAACAAATTGCTGAAATATCAGCCTCAGTTCTAAAAAAGATGCTGCGATCAGAAGTTGATCGTCCCTAGGATCACCTCAGGAAGGTTCGCACAGTGCTGAGTAGTGGTGGTGGGCCCGTGACCTCAATAGCAGAGTGAATGTAAAATGCTTGAGATGGTAAAAACATGCAAGTACAGCACTATAAATAAGATTACAAGGGAATACCAATCGACCTAGCTAGCCATGTACTCTAAGGGGTACATTCCCTTATTACAGCGAAATCCAACCGTGCGACTCCAGACAGTTACGAAACTGTCCGGGCAGAATCCTCGCCACTGCTGCTGCCTGATGCTGTCTGCCCGACGGTCCAGATGCTTTCGTAACCGTGCGACCCTTCGCGTTTCTTGCGCCCTTTCGCCTTCAATCTCGGTAGTGCGTGCGTGCTTCGCTTGCTGCGGTGAGGAGTGCACAGTAGTGTTTCAATAATTACTATTCGTAACACCCCCCTTCACTCCTGGCCATAACGAGTCTTGACCCGCTTGACTAATCCGCTGAGTTCGGAGCAGTGCTGGTACTGCTGACGTGACAGTTTCTTCGTGAGAAAGTCAGCTGCCATGTCACCCGTAGGGCAGTAGGTTAGGTCAACCTTGCCCTTGTCGACTTCGTCCTTGACGAAGAAGTTCCGCAGCACGATGTGTTTGGTGCGATTGACGAATCCCGGCTTGTTCGCGATCCTGATCGCGCTCTGATTGCCGCAGTGTAGGCAAAAGTTCGCCGAGGTTGGAATTTTCGCCTCCTGTAGCAGCTCATGAAGGTAGAGGCCTTCGCGAACGGCTGCTGTTGCTGCGATGAATTCAGCCTCTGCTGATGACAGGGCAACCATCTCCTGCTTCTGTGAATTCCAGGAGATGGGGCCGCTGGGCTCGAGACGAAACAGGAAGCCTGTCCTGGACCGTCGGTTGTCGGGGTCAACGGCGTGATCAGCGTCCACGTAGCCGATGAGATTGAAAGACGAGGTTGGGATGGTGGAGTAGCAGAGCCCAACATTCGGCGTGGAGATGAAGAACTGAAGTGCTCGCTGGAGATCTAGCAGATTCTCAGCCGTTGGTTTGCGGGAGTACTGAGCCAACTGGCTCGTGATGTAGGAGAGGTCGGGCTTGCAGGTAACATATGCAAAGAGCAGGCATCCCAACTGCTGCTGGTAGGTGTGAAGCCCAGCAGGGGACAGGGCTTTGTTGTAAGGCTTGTGGTTGGGTCCTGGAGTGCGGTAAGGGATGGAGAGTGGTGCAGGCGCAATGTTGAAGCGCTTGCTAAGCTCCTCTGCGTACTTCGCTGCTGAGAGATGAATGGCTTCCGGTGAGTAGGTGATGTTGAGCCCGAGAAACGGCTTCACGTCATGGTTGCAGGTGATGTTGACGCGCCCTGCGAGATTTTTCTCGAATTGCTCAAGCAACTCGTTGCCTGACCCTGTGTAGAGGAGGTCGTCGACGTAGACCGTGAGTAGGATGTATTCGCCACAGAAATCGCGGCGATGCATCCCAGGATCATGAGGCAGCTGCTTAAACCCGATTTCAAGCAGTATGTTGTGCAGATACTGCTGCCAGAGTCTCGGCGCCTGTTTGATCCCGTAAAGGGATTTTCGCAGCTGGCAGATACGTGAGTCCCCTTCGCCGTAGGTGTGCGGCTGCTCCACGTAGATCACTGCATCTACTAGCGCGTATAGGAACGCGTTCTTTACATCAAGTTGTCGGAGCGGGAGGTGTCTGTCAGTAGATCTGCACTGTGGATGCCCGATTGATCCTAGGGGGGTTACAGGCGCGTTTGCCTAGGGGGTTATGGGCGCACTGACCCGCTACTGAAACAAGCCCTTTTATCCCAATGGTCTAGTGGTTGGGATTCTGACATGGTATCAGAGGGAAGGTATCGGGTTCGAATCCCAGTGTGTGCACTTCGGGCATCCCAGTGCGGGGGGTGTCAGAGGTCCACTGGTGATCCCCGATTGATCCTAGGGAAGGGTTACAGGCATGTTGGCCTGGGGGGTTATGGGTGCACTCTGACCCGCTACTTAATA